AACGTCAATTTCTGTAAATTTGTCCACTGCGCTCTAAGTTGTGCACGCAATGCTTTTACGCACGAATGTCTCTGATATTTTGCGTGCGGAGACACCTCCGACCAAATTAAAAATTCTTCACATGTGTAAGGCAATTATATTCGTATCGACAGCCACTTGCAGAAACCCAGAAATTTAGCTCAATTATCACACACACGGGTATGTTTAATTCGAGACGATTATTTGGAAAGCCAAGAGTGCGGTTGTTTAAGCATATGTGCTTACAATTAGGGCCGTTTAAGGTAAAATCGCAAACCCTGTGGATTCAGTCGACTGTTGCTGTTTAAAAAATAAATAACAACAAAAAAGCTGAAATTAGTTCTGCGAACTTTTCTGATTAAGTGTTTTTTCTTTCTGAAAAAAAAAATTGTTGGGTATTATTGTTTTTTTTTTTCTTTCTCTGTAGCAAGCTCACCATTAACATTAACATTAAAACGTATGCATCGTCCCTCAACAATCGGAGTGGGAAGTGGGTAGTAAGGAAAAAAACATATATACATAAATTTATTATTAACACCGGAATAGGACAAGGAGATTATTTAATACACTTTTATTTAATATTATAATGGACGAAATAATTAAACAAATTTTAAAACATAAAGGGTAAAAAATAGGAAATAGAGAGAAGAAAATAATATATTACGCCGACGATGCCATTCTAGTGGCAGAAAATGAAGATACAACAAAACAATTCAACATGAGAATCTCAATCCAGAACACAAAATGAATGACAACATCTAAAATTCCAATAAGATGCAAACTCGAAATCCAGAACAAGATTATTCAAACGGAAATTAAGTTCAAATATTTTGGAAACGAAATATCCGGATTCGGAGACATTGAAGAAGAGGTAAGAAGTCAAACAACTAAAGCAACAACAATGGCCAGATGCATAAATAATATAATAGTGTCGAACAAACAACGAACGAAATACTCAATATCCAAAGAGCTGCCGCCGAAACCCGCACCGAAACATCTAAGACCAAAAGAATGCTATCATAGAAAGGAAAATGAGTGAGGATGTAAGACGAACATGTAAAATTAAAAAAAAAAGATTTTGTGCTCAACAGAAAACTAGAGTGGAACGAACCGAATCTTCGCAGAAAGAATCGTCAAAGTAATGACAGAAAAATCACCGTCGGGACGAAGAAACACCGACAGACCACGCAAACGTTGGAGCGACAATCTTCTGCTACCGTATTACTAGAACCATGCAGGGGGGCGATGAATGAAACAGCCTTACGCCTAATAAAAAGAAGGAAAAAGAAGACGAATATAGATTTATTTGGGGGCTAGGTGATTTTTCTGCAAACCGCATAATTTTTGCAAACCATTTGCGAAAACTAAAACTCCGATATTTCGATGAAAAGTTAATTCCACCTTCAATTCAATTTCAATTCAATTTAATAATATACATATACAAAACAAGCCTTAGGCACTAAGTATACTACGCGTCCGCGGTAATAAAGAAAACTGTCCGATTGTGCAAAAAAAAAACTCCACTACGTGGTGCTTATCTGTACTTCTAAACCACACGCCGGTGTAGAACTTTCACAGTCGCCGGGTATATAGCCGAATTAAAAGAATATATCTGAATGGTTTAATGGCGCCTGAAACATAGAAAACAGAAAGGAATTTGTATTTTAAAAACAGCATTTATTATTACTATTATTATTATTATTATTATTATTATTATTATTATTTCAGTTTGTTACAATAAGCCTAAAAAAATGGTGTACGGTATAAACGATTACCGAAAAGTAAACACCAAAAATAAATAGAAAACTTACCTGGTATAAAAGAACACGAAGCATTTTCTACCAAACTCAAAAATCTCTAAAAGGCGTACTTTATAAACCAACAACCAGAAAACCTTAAAGGGTATCAAAGTGGGATGCAAAATGTAAAATCAGGCTTCGGAAATGCGGCTCTCAGCCCGTCGTTTTTTTCCGAATTGTTTATTTTAGATTTTTTTCTTTTTATTTAAGATTTGGGTATACCTGTAAAGAGGAACCAAAAATCAGTACGGCAAACATGTATGTGTGGGTGTGTAGGTGTGCCGCCTTGTAATGTTAATTCGTGCCGGATTAAATTAAGATTGCCTATTTATTGAGAATTCGTTTTTATAATGGGTTATTAACAGCAGCCACAAAATATTTTTTCTACAACACTTGTGTTTTGATTACTGATAAAATACATATCAATAACTAAATTGAATTTTGCGTAGAGATTGTGTGAGATTTTCTTTCATGCCAATTTTATCCTATACCATTGTAAAGCTAATTGCATAGCGTAGGTGCTAATAGTATATTATGCAACAAGTGCGGTAAACCGCATTTGACTCACGAGTTTATTTGACACTAGCGGAGCGAGTGTTTAATAAACGAGTGAGTTAAAAAGTTTACCGAACGTGTTGCATACTATACTTTTTCTACGACCGTTAACTTTTGGGTATATTTTCGCAAAACAACACGAATACATTCACTGACATGACGGTCAGAATGGACAAACGTCAAAATTCAAAGCGTGGGAAATATCTCTGAAAACATCCGATTCCTTCCAAATCCGTGCGGTAAAATCCCGGAAGTGGCTCGGATTCATGGGAAACGAAACTGACGTGGTAAAGTGACGCTTCCCGCACCCTAGATCGGTGGGTAATTAGGTATTTTACAAACGGGAGTAGAAAAAATTAATTACAGGTACAAGCAATTGGGAACCTTCCCGGCGACATGTGTCATTTTCATATAGAAGGGAATACAAAACTTACGAACACCAAAAATTTTGAAACTAAATTATGTGTAGTATTTTTTTTTTTTTTGACCTGTTAAAGAGTTAAATCCATTTTTCTACTCCCGTCTGTAAAATATCTAATTACACACCGATCTAGCGTGCGGGAAGCGTCGATATTTTCGGAGATTTTACATCGCGGTTTGAATTTTGACATTTGTCAATTCTGACGATCATGTCAGTGAATGTATTCGTGTTGTTTTACGAAAATGTACCCAAACATTAACGGTCGTAGAAAAAGTATAGTATGCAACAAAAACTTTTTAAGTCACTCGTTTATTAAATACTCGCTCCGCTCGTGTCAAATAAACTCACGAGTCAAATGCCGTTTACCGCACTTGTTGCATAATATACTATTAGTTCATAGTTCATGTGTTCGTGTTAAAAGTAAATAAAAACGATATACTCGAGTTTAGTCAGTCTCGGGATAACAAGCCGAACTTGCTCTGCTCATCTTTTGCTTTACAAAACGCTTTGTGAGTCGGTGTGTTTGCAATAATAATTTTTTAATTAGACAATAGTTACGCCATTTTGCCACTATATATGATGACACAACTGGTCTACCTGATGCTATTTCAAATCGCAAAGATGATATTCTTTACATAATATATAAATTTCAGAAATTTTTGAGAATTTGGGCCAACTGCAAAACTCATGCCCAGATAAAATATCAAATTACTTTCTTAAAGCTTGCGCAAACGCACCCTTATACATCAACTTTAATTTATCTCTATGGACAACTATATTTCCATCTATATGGAAAGCAAGTTATATCACCCGAATACACATATCAGTGGATAAAGAAAATGTGAAAAATTACCGAAGTATGTCTAAGCAGTCGGGGGTACCTAAATTATTCGATAAATTAGTTTATGATCAGCTAAATTGGTAGGTTAAAGGTTTATTTATTGTCCCAGAGCAACATGGATTAGCAGTTGGTTACGAGATGAATCTTTTGTAGGCATTGGATTCGATTTATTTCTTTTAAAATTGCATAATTTTGGTTTCACTAGAAAAATAAGAAAATAACCATTTTTTTGAAAAGCGGCAACAAAGAGTAAAGCTTTTTAAGTTTGTATTAAAAACCTTCGAGGTCTTATCTGGAGCACCTCAAGGAGGTCATTGTTCACTAACGCTTTAATCATTAGTATTGTATTTTGCAGATGATATTATATAGATGTATTCATAACTCAATTGATATATAAATATTACAAAAAGATATAAACAAGCTTTGGGAGCGGAGCCAACTTAATAACCTTGAATTAGTGTTTTTTAATTAGCTTTTTAAAGAGCAGTAAAAAATTATTTTATAAAAAACTGTTTAGAAATCTACTTGGAATTTTTAATAAACATGTTGATTTTAAAGATCGCTTATCTCACATAACACAAAAAGGTCTCAAGCTCTTAGCTCTTGAGAAATTGTAATGAATTCTCAATTGATATCACAAAAGTAGTGTACTGCTCCTATGTACGATATCAACTTGAATATACAACACGGTGGACAAATTCACCTGTTTATCAGATCAGTGAATTCATAGTATTGAGAAGATTCAGAATAAGTTTTTGAAGTAACTTTTTCACATGGTTGTAATAACTCTTTTGATAGAGCTTTACAATTTCTAAATAAGCATTGTGATCTAGATCCTATATATAATGAGAGGATCCCGTAAAAAAAATATAAAAAATAACTTCAACATAATGTGGTTGGTGTTTACAATCAGCAAATGGTCATAGAATATTATAAATTTAATATAATGCAATGTGGGAAGAAAATAAGTTTACTTTCGATAGATGGCTGTGTGGGTCAGTTGGTGGTAACGATGATGATCCAAGTTTTATTATTTGGAGTATAATTCTCATTGTGCAACGTCGGTAAAAACAAACTTACATTAAAATTGATATCTATTTTGGTTAAAGTTTTTTCAACAAAATGGCGTAAAATCGTAAAATTTTCGTAATGACAACTAGAGGGGTTTAACATTAAAATACGTAAAATTTCTTGAAAATTTATAACGAAAGTACCTTTCGATTAAGTCTAATTTCGATACTTATCTCATTAAAACCAATGACTGCAGCGCCACCTTATAAAAGGCGGGGACTTACTTAAAGAAATATATACACACATTAAAGTACAAATCATTGATTGTATTTCTAATGGTTTTATTTTGCCGCAGGTGTCTGTACGAACGCCACAGCTCCCTCTGTGAGCAGCATAAACCGGATTCTGCGAAACCGAGCGGCTGAAAGAGCTGCGGCAGAATTCGCGAGAGCTGCCGGTTACGGACTTTATCATCCGCATCCGTATGCTGCTGCTGCATTCCCTTGGCATTCACCTTTATGGCCCAATGGGCCCTTGGGCCTTCAACCTCCAGGAGTGACGAACCCTTCCGTTATGACAGGATCCCCCGCTTCCTCAAGTTCGCCGCACGGTGATCACAGTTTGTTACACTCGCCTCCGGGAGGTTTAGAAAAAGACGATTCTAGTTTAGATAGCTCGGAACAACCGAAATTTCGAAGGAATAGAACTACGTTTAGTCCCGATCAGTTGGAGGAGTTGGAGAAAGAGTTCGAGAAGAGTCATTATCCGTGTGTGTCGACGAGAGAGAGATTAGCCTCGAAAACGTCCTTGTCGGAAGCCAGAGTGCAAGTAAGTTACTATTAAAACTTTCTGGGTATGTTTTTAAGATAATAGAGAGATCAGGCTTTCCAATTGATGTCAACGTATCATTACAAAGGGTCGTTCTTAGATCGACAAGGCATTATGTACGTAAACATCTAAATACAGTGAATTATACAATGTACGAATTTATTTTGATAAATATACAGAGCTAGCAATTTGTAACCTATAAATGAAACACGTTGTTTATTTATTTGTTAAAAAACGCTGCTCGCAACGACCTAAGAATTATATCAACTAGATACGTGTGCATGCGTATTTTATCTGGCTTCATCTCTCTATTAACTGCGGCTTAGGGTACTGTGTACACTTATTTATAATGCTTAAAATACACCTGACTTTTGCAATATGAAGTTGGTAGTTCTTCTGTACAAATAAGGGGTGTTTTTTTTCGATGTATAGAACTTTAAGTTGCAATAAAACAACGATGGATTATTCGATTGACATGAATTTTATTTAACCGAAAGATAATCTTGTGGCATTACATTTTAAATATGATTTCTGGCATATGACCGCCACGGCTGGCGCGGATGTAGTCCAATCTGGACGTCCAATTTTCGATGACTTTTTCCAACATTTGTGGCCGTATATCGGCAATAAATTGTCTTCCAAATGGTCAAGCATTTGTGGCTTATCCGCATAGACCAATGACTTTACATAGCCCCACAGAAAGTAGTCTAGCGACGTTAAATCACAAGATCTTGGAGGCCAATTCACAGGTTCAAAACGTGAAATTAGGCAGTCACCAAACTTGTCTTTCAATAAATCGACTGTGGCACGAGCTGTGTGACATGTTGCGCCGTCTTGTTGAAACCACATCTCCTGGACATCATGGTTATTCAATTCAGGAATGAAAGAGTTAGTAATCATAGCTCTATACCGATCACCATTGATTGTAACGTTCTGGCCATCATCGTTTTTGAAGAAGCAGTCAGTTTTTCTGGATGTAACGGTGTTTCGACATACACTTGAGGATTAGCTTCGCTCCAAATGCGGCAGTTTTGTTTGTTGACGTAGCCATTCAACCAGAAGTGCGCTTCATCGCTAAACAAAATTCGCTTATGAAAATCGGGAACAATGGCAATCTCGTTTTGGGCCCATTCGACGAATCTATACCTTAATTGATGATCGCTTGGCTTCAATTCTTGCACGAGATGGATTTTGTAAGCACGTAAACCAAGATCCTTCCGCAAAATCTTCCATAAAGTGGATGGACATAGATCCAATTCCTGTGCTCGATGGCAGATGGACTCATTCGGGTCTTCCTCAATTCTATGCTCTACAGCAGCAATAGCTTCTTTTGTACGCACCGTACAGAGTAAACGTGGTGCGAAAACGTGCCATGGTTAATCGAATTAACTGCTCTGATGGACGATTTTGTCGACGATAAAATGGACGTAGTGCGCGATACGTATTCCGCACAGAACCATTATTTTCGAAATAAAATTCCACTATTTGCAAGCGTTGTTCAGGCGTGAGTCTATTCTTGATGAATTTCCAAACCAAACTGAGAATAAATCACTTGACAGCTGTTAAATCAGTCGCCATCTTGAACAGTAATGCCAACTTAAAGTTCTATACATCGAAAAAAACATCCATTATAATACCGGTCCAACGAAGATAGAGAATTGGAGGTTTTCTTAATACATAAAACAAAAACCGCAAGGACATATTTGAAATATATCTCATCTATATGAGTTATGATAGAGAAGAAGAATATCCATTCTTCCTATCATTTTAAGAAAGCTGGGGCGAATAGTTGGTTGTTAGTGTTATGCGGTACTGAATACCATATTCTGACCAAAAGGTTTCGCTTCTACATGAGGTACTATTTTGTACTCACAAAGGTGTCAAAAGTATCAATCTGTACCAATTATTAATTCTATCAAGGCCTTTCTTCTACTCCTTTTTATGTCTGTGCTTTGAGGTGGATAGCATTTTAGGTCACTTTGAGACATAACCTATTTCAAGAAACAATTTAATTTTTATGAAACTACAAGAAGATTTATAAATGACACTTTAGACACGGAAAAGGTTTTTTCTAAACGTCTTGTTATTCAAAATTATAATGTAATCTTTTGGTGTATAGTTGTACCCTCGGCCATTTATATTTGCTAGTGGCCTATGAGCAAACATCCTCCGGAAATGATGTACACTATAAATCCTTTTCGTCATTTATGTAATATATTTTCCTCTACAAATCGTATTAATTTATTTAAATTTTTATTGCAATCGGCATTCTTTCGGTACATCACAGTTTTTCTTAAATTTGATCTAGGACACGGAGGTCGGTAAACCATTAATTTTCAATATATTTTTGAATTTTCACTTTCATGAGAATCGTTGCTATTATTTAGACTGCTAACATTGTAAGCACATCAACCGATCTGAATTAAAACAAAAATCAACGCGCATGGTCCAGTCATATGATCCGCACATGAAGCGGAGGATAATTATTGGTCCGGCTGAATCTACAACGTCTATTCAGCAATAAAACCTCCTGAATTAATCTTTTAACTAAAGTTGAAATTCTTTTGAAAGTGTACATCATAGTTTTTTTGGTTGTCTGCTCGTCGCTAGTAGCTTACATATGATGTTAAAATATTAAATATAAAAACGCGATACGCAGATTTAAAACTAATACGGTGCGTTGTAACCAGGTTTGGTTTTCTAACAGACGAGCCAAATGGAGACGACACCAACGCATGAATCTCCTAAAGCAATCTTCCCCAGGGCCGCATCAGAACAGCCATCAATACGGCGGTCGTCTGACGCCTTCACCCCATTGCAAAGCCGGTTCCACCCCTGGCTCGCCCCTTACCGGCGGCCCTTCGGCATCCTCGCTCCTGTTACAAATGGGTGGCGAAAATAGTGCTTTCAAAGCCCTGGTGCCTAACTCTTTAATCGGGCAGGAGAACATGAGAAGATTTACCGATTATCTGTCGGATTCTGACGAGGAGATCAACGTTAATGATGAGTCGGACGTAGAGGAAGAGCGAATGAGGCACTCGCATTCGTCGAGCCCGGTAGAGGTGGTCGATTTGCCGTCCAAAGGTTCGCCTTCATGTCAGCCTCTTCAGTTAACAATTCACGATAGAGAATAATGATTGATATGAGACGTGATCGCGTTTAGAGAATTATGTATGCCGCAAAAACCTACATCCATTGTCTAGCGATATGTGAGATACTTCTCTGCATACCTACGCGAGAATATCGGTTGAACGAAGTTGTCAACTATCGACCAATATTAAGTTATCAAACTACTGCTGCTCCAACATTTAGTATATTATACGCTAGAGTTTTTGAGTGACAAATATTGCAATAGATGGCTAGTATTGCAGACTACCTTTTTGTTCTCATTTGATTTGCTCCTATGCCAAATTTTTCTTGAAATTTATGGTATTATCTTGCTTCTTCCGAAAAAGCTGCGTTGGTTTTGATACTCGGTCTTTATGTGAGGTATTCTTTATTTAAATGCGAAGCTTTAAGAGTACGACACAACGTTACATTAAAACTAATTTACAAAAGTTACAATAATTTTGGCAGACAATATAATGCTTTTTAATCTTTCAATAAAAGTAAGGCAAAAAAACTTGAAACTACGTATGCAGAAAAAAACATTGACTTACGAATTTTTACTTTGTCAATAGACAGCACTTTGACGCACGTCACTCCAAAAGCAAACAAAACAAAAAAACAATTTTTTGATGTGAAATCTTAATAATAAAATTAATGCGGATGGAATAATGTCATGCAAAAATAGACATTTGACCTATATATTCAACAAACTTATTCGGCAGAGAAGTAGTATCTTAATTAATAAAAACATCCATTTTTGTTCTAATTTATTACCTGTCTGATATTAATGGAAATGTCTGGGTAATTATTCGGGAATAAGTAGCGTATCCTCAAAACAAAACGTAGGTATTTGCGCTTTTCAGTTTTTCGTCATCAGCATCGAATAAAACAATAACGTGTAAATGTGAATCTAGCGCACACTGTACATACCCCAACCGTACTATAGTTATTGTTGATCTGTAAGATAATTTAATTTCCTATTTATTTGTAAATAGAGTCCGTATTTATTAGAATTAGACCCAACTCCACCGATTGTTTTGTAATCCTTACCGGTAGCGTAACCGTAACCAGCGTAAAACATTTGTGACGTCACAGTTACGCAATCTTATTGTTGTGTACATAGAAAACGAGATCTTGTTCCTGAAATAAATTTGTTTCGATTTGAAATGGGTCTGACTTCCTTTCTCCTTGTCGCATCTACCTTAAAACGTTAATCTTTGTCGTTCTTCCTAAACGTATTGAACAAATTAAATCACAGAACAAAGAAAAAATCAAGCAAATTTTAAACTAAAAATTTGTACGACCAGAATTCCTTATTATTGCTCCTTTCAATCATTTGGATATTTAAGATCTTCTTTTCATCTTATAGATATTTTCAGAGGAAAGGGGAGAACAAGTAAATATTAACCATTATTTGTAATTTGCAATGTTTTGTCAAAAAGTTTACAATATGTAACAGCATTTGCGTGTGTATGTGTCAAGTATTTTTGTTTTCCCATTTCAGTTCAGTTCAGTATAAGTGGGAATATGTTTTTTTAATATTAGACAGTGTAGCTCGAGAATAAATATAATTGTACCGTGCGTGTGTTAAAACTGGAACCTGTGGTGGAAAAAAGATTAAATACTGAGTTTACAAGTTTAACACTACTATATTCATACACACACATTATTATCTGATGTTATACACTGTTTAGTTAGTTCCGTAAAAGTTAAAGGAAATGTCATTTTCGCATTTTGAAATTTATGTTATTTTACATTAAAAAAGGAAAGAATTTTTGTTGTTGGAGGTAAGTTAAATACAAGATGGAAGAATCACTTGGAGTGTAAGTAACTAAGTAACTAATTACAAAGGCTAAAATCTCGATCTACACATCCATCTATCTATCTGTCTATTGGGTGATAAGTAATATTTTCAGGTTTGGAGAAAAAAATAAAAGCTCCAATAAAAATATACTTAATAAATAACGAGCCTTTTCGCAGAATTAAGTGCAATAATTATTGGGCGATTGCAATTTTTTTTAATGATTCTCTGGCAGATGAAGCGCAGGCTCTGTAGGATTGCAAATTTAATAATGTTCTTCCGCTAGAAAATATATTTTTTTATATCTTATAAATTATTGAAACTATAATTATAGTCATCATTGTTATATTATACGGGGTGATTTATCATTCATTCGAAATATCTAACTGTGAAACCATGAACTCAATATATTAAGGTTTAACCGATATCACTTGCTATAAATAAGATTTTTTTTATTAATCCGGATTATTTTTTTTATTTCGGTAAGAGTTGCAATCCTACAGCATAGTTTATAATTGTGCATCTTTTTGTTCACCTTTAAATATGTAGAAAAGATTTTATCTTTACAAACATACAAAGTATTGGAGAATTAAAAGATTCTGCTAAATGTTTATTTAGCAAATTACATTAACCTAGTAAGTGATTTGAGATAAATCTTAATATTTTGAGCTCAGGATTATACAGTTCAAATATTTACAATTATTAATGAATCGCCCTAAGCTATGGTTCGCGTTCGGCTGCTTCCAAGTTCGATACGAAACAAAACACCACGAAAAACGGGTTGATTAAGTCATGAAAGAATGCCGTGGACAAGGTCGGGCCATTGTCTCCAGAAGTTGTCAGCGTGGGCATATTACGAGGCATAAAAATAAATTTAATAGATCAAGATAAAGTGAAAACCTAACAGCGGCTTACAATGCCATTTAATTTATTAGCTGCAAACAAATTTATACGATTTGAGACAGTCCATTACCCCGATTGTCGACTGAATTTTCGAAATACTTGGCTTGAAGAGTCGTGTTAGAAATTTAAACAGGGAATGATTACGTTTGCTGACGTTGCTCTATATTCTAATTTAATTATTTGTTATTATTGATTTAATTTAAGGGAGATCGATAAATAATTTATGCGAATTTAATAGTCTAAATTGAAATTTGTTCCTTGACAATTTACGAAGAATCTTTATCGGTTCAAAAATAATGGCCATACATATATCTCAGAGATTATTAGACTTAAATCTATGAAATTTAATGTGCGGGGTTTTTTTCCCTCACCTATCAAACATTTCTGGTTCGATCTTAAGATTCTAAGTATTTTTCATGAAACATAGGTTATACCCAATTTCAACCGTTTTTGAAGGAATGACGAAAAACGAAAATAATCAATGATTTAATCATTACAGTAGAATTTAATTTTTGAACGACATAACTAATGATCTTTCGAAGTGATAAACTTAAATAACAATAAAAAAAGAGAAAGTTACCTATTTTAATAAATACTCAAACAGACATCTTTAGGCTACGTGACAATGTCTTAAGCGGTCTGTAAATTCCTGTACAATCTTCTAGCTCAGTCAAAGTGTTGGGTTTTATTTGTAGTTTTGAGGTAACTCCAAGGAAAAAAGTCTAGGGGATTTAAATCTGGTGAACGAGGCGGCCACTCGATAGTCGCTCTTCATCCGATCCGGTGAGATGCCACTGATATAGAAAGGCTCTATAATATTTTCACCAATTTTTCCAACCCACAAATTTAGCATTTGAGGATATTGGGACGATGTTTCATCATCCATTTTGGAGTTTTGTTTGATCAATATCGACAACTGCGTCGATTAACAAAGCTACAAACAAAAAGTCGCCTAATCAAAAATAAAGATATAACTTGGGAAATTTTGAATTGCAATCAATCATACACTTTATTTAAGTTTACCAATTCCTAAAAATCATTAGTCATGTCGTCCATAAATATAATTTTATACCGTTTTCATTTAAAACAAGAAAGTTTGGTAGCTTAGGGAATGTGGCAATGTCGCCTATGTCACTATCACTATTAGAAACTCCAGTATCCCAAATTCCATAAATTTAAGTCCTGAGATAGATGATCGTTGCGGGACATTTTTAGTCTAACTCTGTATATGGGGCGTAAAATGAAACACCCTGTACATATAACGATTTTTAGAATCTATCTTCTATGTTCTGAAACTATTAGTTTTTTTCCTTTTCGAATTTTACTTTTACTGGGACTGTTACATTCCAAGGCACTCATGCATTTAAACAATGATTTTTTGGTTCACTGCTGATGTAGAATTCTTACAAATTTTTTTCATATGTCGATAAGCAGCCGTTTCCAAAAGCAATAAGTTAAAACAAAACGTATCGTGGCTTCATGACGATCCAATGGTAAGAAAAATAAAAGGAAGTTGAACAGACCAGTACATAAGTACATTTGGTTTTCGGGACAAAACTAAAATAGCTGAAAAATAAACATTTTTCTGATAATATTCATTGATTTATTTATTAAGCATTCTAAAACGGGAATGAGCCCAATTGAAATATATTTTTTATCTTGTAAGCATTTATTGCAAATAAATCATTGACATTGGCATTGACAAACAACGCTTTTCTTTGGATTATTTTTCATTTTGCCTGACTGATCTGTATGCTAATCACACAATGGTTAAAGATTTAGTTATTTCAAATTTCTATATGTAGTAGTTGTAATGATCTCGTGTATGAAACGCTCTTGATGTATCAGAACTGTCAACTTTGTATAACGTATCAAAACGTTGAGAAAACTATAAAGCAACTCGGGTGAAAAACCAAACCGCATCATAAACTTCGACCGCATTTTACGATACGCGATACTACACTTATTTACATTTAGATACTCGTTGGCAATTTGGTTAACAGTCAGCGTAAAAACATAAAAACCGAGCAGGAGTTCGATATTACTGCTATATGGTTAACATAAACACTCGCCAAATGGTAATTGCCAGGTTAGTTACGGTTACAATATAAGAGATAATCTGATGATTCCTAAGTAAATGGATTGCTTTAAGTTTTCCTTTCCGTCATCGAAGTAATTTTTATGTTATTTGAACGCCTACGTTCGCATCGGATCTTTAAAATCTTTAAGCTTCGAATAGCGTTACTAAATTGGACATGACTGGGACTTTATGATATATTTAAACATATAGATGGATTTCAGTTTAATCTTCCATAAAAGTAAAGTTTATTTTATGTATAATCTGACAGTGTCGTCCGTCCTTGGATAAAGTATAAACGTAAATTCGTGACATAAAAAACCAAGTATTAAAAGTATAATAAATATATAATAAATATAATAAATTAATCAGATATTATACAAGTTTGATAAACCATTCGTTGGTTGCAAGTTTCATTTGGCGCCTGCGGAACATAGCGGCTGGGTCTTTGATAAACTATCATTAGATTTTTAGTAGGTGTAAAATAACACGAAAGCATTCACTGAGTGCCGTGTGACTTGGGTATCAGAATTGACAAATGTCAAAATACCATCAATGGCTAAAATCTATCGAAAACATCCGATCGTGCCCAAACCCGCGACCAAAGTACCGGAAGTTCGCTAACTTCTTAAGATCCTTTATGCACGCTTGCACACTGGTCTATAATTTCAAATTTGAATACGTAGCGATGCATACATTTCACCCACTAACCTGCACTTTTTCCCAGAATATTTAAGGAGATCTATGAATATTTTGACAAAATACTGCCTTAAAAATGCTGCTTCCAATCGCATTGGCCGTTTGGCAGCGGTCATGTAAGGTGATTTTAAATCATTCGCATGCGTATGTAAGTTCCTCTATTGTATTGTCACACATTATGTGACAAATCCAACGAAGCAATATATATATATATATATATATATATATATATATATATATATATATATATATATATATATATATATATATATATATATATATGATGACACTATATTCCGGGATATCATCCGTTCGCTCGTTGAACTCCGACTGGAATCCTGCATCCGACTGGAATCCTGCAAATCTTGCATCCGACTGGAATCCTGCAGACGTTTCGCCAAAATCTCACTTGGCATCTTCAATGCTCGCGCTCCGAAAACACTTCGAACACTGGGAGGTTATCGGCGGTGCGTGCGGTATTTATACTCTGCGCCGGAGATGGTAACGGTGCTGCTTGTGCGTGGGGGGAGGTGGCTCCGCCCCCTGAATTGTCGCGTTGTTAATTTCGCCCGATCGTAGTTGCGATGTCCCCGTTGGCTGCTGCGCATCGCTCTGCTGTTTGATTATCGTTCTCCACGTGTTGGATAAATGCAGAGCGTCGTCTCTCGTAT